CCCTAACACAGCTCAAGGTCTGGGCCTCCCTTCAAACCCTCCCACAGGGCCCGCCTCCAAATCCCGCCCACAGGAATACACACAGAAAGAAACACACATACTAACAGATACAAATACTGAAACAGACATACACACATGCATAGGGAGATACTGATACACACACACACACACACACACACACACACACACATTTACATGCAGACATACATATGACAAACAAACATACATACATACATACAGATATATACACATATTGACATACAGACACATACTGACATACATACTTACATACTGGCATTCATACATACACGCATACTGGCACACATACATACACGCATACTGGCACACATACATACACGCATACTGGCACACATACATACACGCATACTGGCACACATACATGCTCACACATATTGGCATACATACATACTGGCATACATACATACATACTGGCATACATACATAAATACAGACACACACTGGCATACATACATACACTGGCATACATACATACACACACACACACACACACACACTGGTATACATACACATTGGCATACATACAAACACTGGCATACATACATACACTGGCATACATACATACATACATACATATACTGACATACATACACTGGCATACATACATACAGGCATACATACACACTGGCATACATACATAGAGACACACTGGCATACATACACTGGCATACACTGGCATACATACATACACACATAGACATACATACAGGGATACATACATGCATACATACACACTGGCATACAGGGCTGCCACCAGAAATTTTGGGGCCCCTGACAAAGCACAAGGTCAGGACCTCCCCCCCGCCCGGGCCGCCCACGAATCCGCCGACAATGATGCAGGACTGAATGTGGTGTGTATAGTTGAAGTGAATTAGAATGTGTGTATTAGATACTGTTTGTGCAGTGAATGCAGAGTGTGTGTTTGTGTAGCGGATGCAGTGTGTATAGTGAACGCAGAGTGTGTTTGAGTAGTGGATGTAGTGTGTGTTTGTGTAGTGGATGTAGTGTTTGTGCGTACTAGATGCTATGTGTTTAATGGATGCAGTGTCTGTATTGGATGTAGTGTGTGTATTAGATGCAGACTCTCCGTATAGTGAATGCAGAGTGTTTGAATGTGTGGTGAATGTAGTGTGTGTACGGTGAATACAGGATGTTTGTGTAGTGGATGCTGTGTGCATAGTTAATGCAGCATGTGTGTCAGTGGAGTGGATGCAGAGTGTGTGTTAGTGCAGTGAATGCAGTGTGTCAGTGTAGTGAATGCAGAGTGTGTGTTAGTGCAGTGAATGCAGAGTGTGTGTTAGTGTAGTAAATGCAGTGTGTGTTAGTGTAGTGAATGCAGAGTGTGTTAGTGTAGTGAATGCAGAGTGTGTGTTAGTGCAGTGAATGCAGAGTGTGTGTCAGTGCAGTGAATGCAGAGTGTGTGTCAGTGTAGTGAATGCAGAGTGTGTGTCAGTGCAGTGAATGCAGAGTGTGTGTTAGTGTAGTAAATGCAGTGTGTGTGTTAGTGTAGTGGATGCAGTGTGTGTGCTAGTGTAATGAATGCAGAGTGTGTGTTAGTGTAATGAATGCAGTGTGTGTGTGTTTACTAGTGTATGCATGTAATGGAATAATGTAAATGTAATGTTATTCCCCCCTCCCTGTATTTTACCTGGTTCAGGGAAGGGGGAGATTCCATCCCTGGTGGTCCGGTGGCATTGTGAGGGTCCCTGGCTCCCAGTATTTGCAGAGGGGGCTCAGCGGACTGCAGCTCTACTATACAGCTCTTCCTCTCTCTAACTCCCGCGAGACGTGGTGTGAGCGCTGCGCGGAGCGTTGCTATGGGCGAGGGAGTTAGAGACAGGGAATTGCTGTAATGTGCTCCTGCAGTCCGCTGGGCCCCCTCCGCAAATACAGGGAGCCGGGGGCCAACGGCTGCACATATATATAGCGATGATCGCTAAATATATGTGCAGAGAGTAATTGTGGGGCCCTGCACTGCCAAAACAGTCGGGGCCCCCCAGGACCGCCGGGCCCGTGACAACCGTCATGTTTGTCACCCCGTGATGGCGGCCCTGCTGGCATACATACATACACTGGCATACATACACACTGGCATACATACAAACATACACACTGGCATGCATACATACATATATACACGCACACCTCATTTTCAGCCACCCTCCTCTTCCTTACCATTTCATTGCAGGACGGTGGCTGGGGATGATGTGAGTCAGCTGCCTCTCCTCGCGGCCTTCACGCTCTCTCCTCCTTCCCGCGCGGAGTAAGCTGGGAGGGTGACCGGCCATCAATTCCTCCCAGCAGCACTTGCTTTCCGGCTGCATTTTGTTTTTTTAAAGGGGCCCGGTCACGCTATTACAGCGCTGACCGGGCCCCTGAAGATAATAGGGCCCACTGGGTGGCCCTAAATGCTTGGGCCATCTGATGGGCCCCATCAGCGTGTGGGCCCGGTGCAGATGCACCGGCGGCCGTTCCCCTGATCCACGTGGGGCCTGGGCAGCTGGGCCCCGCAGGGCCGCTGGGCCCGTGGCAACCGTCATGGTTGTCAACCCCTGATGGCAGCCCTGTCCTCAGATGCGTCACAGTGCAAGACAAACTACACATAATGGCAGGTCTGAAAGGCAAGACACCACTAAAGTTCAAATACTCCTCATTAATGTTCTTCCAAAACCTCTCAAAAGCCACCCTCTCATGGCGCAAATCTTATGGACCGCTTACCACCAACGCCGATCAGCAGGCATCACCTATAGATGGGGTGCATGAGGGAACTACCCATGTTTTGACCTCAGTGGAAGAAGCCTCTCCCCTCCTAGCCACCTTGGGGCTGCCTAACTCAACGACTAGACCACAAAGAAGCCCAATCGAGGCGACACAGGACCCCAAGAGCACCATCCAGTATGAACCGAGACCCAGCGGATCGCAACACCCAGTACCATGAACAATGTGATATGCTACTATTAGCCTTGCCAGCATAACAGTTGCACACCCGTGCCTTTGAGTTCCTAATGTTTAATAACTTATACACAGGTGTTTATGTATATTAACATATATTTTCCTTTTCTTTTCTTCCCGTTAAATATGGCTTACCACCACAGGTCAATGGATGAATAACTCAACCACATAGGGACCAAGGCTACTCAACACAACACGAGCCTACACACTGCAAATCCAAATGCCTTGTGTCCGCCACACCATCACATCCCCCCCCCGGCACCCACTAGGTTAGGGGCACCCAAGCTATATGAACCACTCATGACAAAAAGCGTAATTTCACTAAGGCATACAGGCATCCTTAAACAACTCTGCACACATGGCTAGACTACAGAGCACAATTATAACAGACCCCTGCCCCTCACGAACAACCCAGCTCCTTAATACTCACATAGAGCACTATCACCATCAATCTTACTGTTGCTAAAGCACCTCTTGCCTTATTTCAAACCCAATGATACAAAACATGTGAATACCTCTGTATTGCTCACTAAATATTGTTCAAAATGTTACTGTTGTACCTAAAACGTTATTTGCTTAACCCAAAATGGTGCAAATCTCTCACAACATTGTCTCTGTACTTAAAGGACCACTCTAGGCACCCAGACCACTTCAGCTTAATGAAGTGGTCTGGGTGCCAGGTCCCTCTAGGATTAACCCCCTTTTTTTTTATCAACATAGCAGTTTCAAAGAAACTGCTATGTTTATAAATGGGTTAATCCAGCCTCCAAATCCTCTAGTGGCTGTCTCATTGACAGCTGCTAGAGGCGCTTGCGTGTTTCTCACTGTGAAAATCACAGTGAGAACACACAAGCGTCCATAGGAAAGCATTGTAAATGCTTTCCTATGAGACCGGCTGAATGTGCGCGCAGCTCCTGCCTTGCATGTGCATTCAGCCGAAGAGGAGGATCGGAGGCGGAGAGCTCCCCGCCCGGCGCTGGAATAAAGGTGAGCTTAACCCCTTTCCTCGCCATCCAGCCCGGCGGGAGGGGTTCCCTGAGGGTGGGGGCACCCTCAGGGCACTATAGTGCCAGGAAAACGAGTATGTTTTCCTGGCGCTATAGTGGTCCTTTAATACACATATGTATGAAAACTTGATTTTGATGCACCAAAATGAAAAACAAAGAATAATAAAAAAAAAAAATAATCTCCAACTCAGAAATAATCCCATCTTGACCTAAATGTGCAACTTGGTTATCATTTTATAATTTTTTTTTTACAATACACTCTTTAGTAAATAAATCCCCTTAGATCAGACGTGATGGCTTTGTGTTACAGAACACAACTCACAAATGTGCCAACAAAGCTCTTGATTTAATATTTCTAATAATTTATTATGAAAAATATTTGTATATTTCAATATTTTTTATATATTGATATATTTTTATATATGATATATATTTTTATATTTAAATATATAAAAAATGTGTTGTAAAAGTTCATCCAAAACTATCTAAAACATTGAAAAGCTTATCCAGAAATGTTAAAATCAAAGCAAAAGCTAAATCATTTTTGTTCCATTAAATTAATCTGATTCCAGAATAGGTAAGTATTGGAATATTCACTAAACTGAATGGAGAAAAGTTGAAAGAATAATAGAGTTGGTGAATGTTCCTAGCTTTGCTGTTTTAATCCACAATTTGCAATTCCTTTGTCAGCTTTCCACAATTCATGGATTAGTGACTATCACTCCCAGGGGTCAAGTCCTGGGGAAAAAAGTGTGGGAACTCACCCAAGATTCCCGCCGCCTCCCCCCCCCCCCTTTAAAAAAAAAAAAATTACACTCCTA